AAAGAGTGTCGGAGGGGAAGAGAGTAGGAAAGGAAATTTGGGGGGAAATAAAGAGAGATAAGACATGTGTGGGACACAAACATGGTTTATTATTTGTTAAATGAGGGTGTACATAGTATTCTCAACTGGGCTGGACTGAGGTGTATATCATGCTGGGTAAAGTCTCTTTACAATCTAAATGATGTATAGTGTGATTAAGTGTATAAATAATAATTTAAATAAATAAACGGACAAGAAAGTTTAAAAAATAGATATTTGTGGGACACTGATATAGTTTATTATCTGTAGATGAGGATGTGTATAGTATTCTCAACTGGACTGAGATGTATATTATGCCGGGTGAAGTCTCTGTACAATCAAAATGATGTATAGTGATTGAATGTATAAATAATAATAATAATAATAATAATAAAATAAATAAAACACTGGCAAGAGCACATGATCACGAGAGGAGAACGGAGGAGGAGGGATTGATGCATGGCCATTGGGGGTTAATTACTCCCTCTCTCTGGTGAGTGTACAACCCTATAGCAAAAAATTGGCCTTTTTTGAGACCAGCAGGTGGCATGATGGTTAAGGGTGCTGGATTTCCACATGGCTGACCACGGTTTGAGTCCCAAACCTGGTGGCTTGTTTTCTTGATTTCCCTCTCTCTCTCTTATTCTCTCTCTATCTCACTCTGAATCTCTCTGGTTAAATGAAAATAAATAATAAATGAAGTAAAATAAAATAATTATTTTTTAAAATTGGCTTTTTGTTTTAAGGAGTGTATTGTGGAACTAGGAATAGAGAAAAGCTGTGTCTACCAGCATTTTTTCTATCCTCAGAGGAGAAACTTAGTCATCTCCCTACATCTAAGCAAGTCCTGAGCTGTATTTAGAAGCCTTCTGAAGTGCCCCAAAAATATGAATAGATCCTTTCTTCCCCATTCCCTCTATCACGTTAATTCACGCTCTTTGCTGTTGTTTTTTTCCCAGTAGTCTCCCTGTCTCGCGTTTTTCCATCAGCTGCCAGTCAAACCACCCCCAAACAGCATTTTGAACAGTGGACCCGGGGTTCAGAGGGTGGACTATGAAGTCACTGGTGATTCAAGGCCTAGTTCTGGTACTTACTGGTTAGGAAACCATGAAGCAAGTGCTACTTATAGACACCTTAGTCCCCAATTCTGTAAAATGAAATGATGATAATATTCTCAGAAGGTTGGAGGAACACGGGGCCAGCAGGTGGCGTGTGGTGGTTAAGACCACTGGATTCCCACGTGGCCGACCACGGTTTGAGTTCCAGACCTAGAGGCTGGCTTCCTCACTTTTCCTCTTTCTTTGACTCTGTTCCTCTCTGGTCAATTTAAGTAAATACATACATAAATAGTTAAAATAAAATAATTCTTTTAAAAAAAATATATGGGGCCAACAGGTGGCCTGGTGGTTAAGGGTGCTGGGCTCCCACATGGCTGACTGCAGTTTGAGTCCTGGACCTGACAGTTTGCTTTCTCACTTTGACTCTCTCTCTCTCACTTTGTCCTTCTCTGGTTAAATGAAAATAAATAAATAAATAAATAAGATAAAGTTAATTATTAAAAAAAAAAAAAAAAGACTCTGGGGACCAGCAGTTGGTGTAGTGGCCATGTTGCTGGACTCCCATGTAGTCGACCATGGTTCAAGTCCCAGAGCAGGTGGCTTAAACTCACACTGGGTGCATGTGTGTGCGTGCCCAGGATCCTGAGAGGAGAATGGAGGAGAAGGGATTGCGGCGTGGCCATCCCCCCGGA